GATAAAAAATATAGGCGAAGAGAGATGCCACAACGGTTAAAAATAAAATTGGCAAAAGAGATTGCCTTTATTAGTCACTTTGATCATTTGAAACCGTACTAAGGAAGGCAGCTCTTATTAACGATGTCGATGAACGTCTGAGAATGTACCAAGCCAATGGCCCGATGGTGGATATCATCATGATTACTTAGAGCGGACATAGGACTAGGTACGTTCCACAAAGTATCCCTGTCGCTTCGACCAAGTTGCGAAAACGAGGTCATGGCAACCCAAGACCATCCCGTCTGTAAACAAAAGTAAATCAGACAGACTGAAAGGACAATCGTCACATCGATCAGAGAACACCAGCAACTCTGCAGAACAATGGATAAAGAAAGATCGGAGATAGCATTGTTCTTAACAGCCACAGTTGGTTCTCTAATGTGTGTGCTTGTGTGTCTTTAATGAAAGATGATTGGTGGCATGCCTGACTAGGGAATTTACCAATTAACGCACACATGCGCAACTGACTAAAATCTAAAGGTTAGATCGAACTGTCAACTTGAAAGACAAAAGGAGTGTGTCTTAAGTGATCTAGGAGTGGAGAAGAGAAGCCCATCTTAAAACCAGCGATTCGGAAGCGAGCCAAAACAGAGCTCCAGAGAATGAGAGATAATGGGATGGAGATTTAAAAAAGTATAATTAGGTCATGGATTTAAACTCTAGCGAGAAGATGTATAGGTATGAGAATCACCGGTTTCTAAATCTTCGAATATGATCTAAACGAGGACCAGAATTGAAGAATCATGGGCAGCCAGACAGACAATAGTTTTCATGTGTGGCATGGAATAACTGACAAGCTAAATAAAAATCAGAAGCCATGATAAAGAAGCCGTTGGAAACGGCAGCTGAAACAGCTAGTGGAAATAAGTATGCTTTACTAAATATACATAAAACGACACATTCTTATGCAACATTGGAGGAAACGAGAACATACAATGGTGAAAAAAGGTAAATGGGCGATATGAAGTGGGGTTGAGAGCTAGGAATTTAGCGCTAGGGGCTAGGACATAAAATAAGGGTTGAGAAATGATGCCACAACCGTTGAACAGAAAATTGATCACTCGTCATTTTGATAAGTTGTAACTCTGTGCTAGGAATGAGCCTTTCATTGACGATGCCGGCGAAGCGGTTGGGAATTTACTAAGTCAACGGTCCGAAGCCAAAAATCATCATAAAAACCGGCAGAAGAAAAAATACTAGGTAATCGAAGGTATAAAAACCAAGATGGTGTGGCCTTTTGTGTGGTCGCAGTCTCTTTACTTCGTATAGAGGTTGTTTAGCCCATGACAGTGAAGCGTATATTCTCGATAGGTTAATCAGTAGGAAACATTGCGACGAATGCCCTTGAGTCACAAAGCAGATGTAAATTTCTAGGAAGGCCAGGCTTTTTCCCATATCCTATTCCGTGATCGGATTGTCGATGAAGCAAGCTTATATTTGCTCTCGCAATTAACAACATTATTTATTTGAAGGTATGAAGACCAAGATGGTGTGGCCTTT